GCCTGAAATCCCAGTACATAAAAAATTAAAGCAAGAAGATTGTAGATTCAAGGCCAGCCTGTGTTATGAGACCTGTCTTTTAAAACATTACTTTAGGGAGTGTATCAACAAAGACGTGACCATTGCCTTACCCCTTATAGTTTACACAGATAGAGATCAACTTGGGATATGGTATCTCACTTGGAGATGTCAACAGTCAATTGGGATTGCCCTATTACTGCTTCTATAATCTTTGCCTTTTTGTAGGAGCTTCTAGTATGAATGATAAAGTATAACTTTTTCCCCATGAGACCCTGAATGGGTCAAAATAGTACCTCAATTAAATCAGCTTGTGCTCCAAGCTCTGTTCTACTGCTCTATCAAATTATGCCCTAGTTTGTCCATGATCTCTCTAGAAGAAAATCCAAAACTTGGGTAACTGTCAAATTTTGTCTCCAGTTTCACTTTACACCTCTCTCAATATGAAGTTTCAGGGAGAGAAAAAAGAGAGACCAAATTGCTTTATTCTAAGAGTTCAAAGTAATCAGTGCCAACTTGTGTTAAAGTCCAAAATTATAATGTTCAATATTGAATTCTCTGACCATTGTGAATTAAAGTTCAAACATCAGGATCTGTTGGGCTCTGGAAGTGACCTTAGCCCCCAAATCAGCTTTCCTTCCTCTAGGGATCCTACTAAGTTTACAGGGTGTCCCCCAGCAGAAACAGTCCTCTAGCAAATGTGAGATATGAAGTAGTCAAAAGAGAAATGTAAAAAAAAAAGAGAGAGAGAGAGAAATGTAGGCTTCTAACTCCAAAGAGGAAGGAAAATGGAGAGGATGATGGTGGTTGCCTAAGTACCAAGTTCACTCATCTAAAAATTCACTGGCAAGCCTGGATTAGAGGGTCAACTTTCCTTTTCCACATTATCAGCAATTGTCAACAATAAAGAAATGTTTCCCCTAAGATAGGAAAGAATTAAAAGAAACAGACTCTCTTATTTAAAAAATAAGGTTTATTTTTATAAGTAATATTTATTAGGTGTCATGGTGGAAATTTGTGAGAACTGGATGCTACCCAATACCCAACCACTAATATGTGTATATCATGTGGTATTTGTCAATGCTTTGTGTTTAGACTGTTACATCAATGCCCTACCCAGCAAAGTTAACAGCATAACCTCAAATATCTGTGAGTTGAAATACAGTGATGCATTTCTCATTCATATGATGCCATGTGTTAGTTAGCAGCTCTGTTCTGTTTCATCCTGATTCTAGGGCTCTGAATGATGAAATCAGCTATCATCTGAAACATCACTGAAGACTGTCAACCCCCTCCTCACTGATACTTGTTTTCTCTTTTTAAAATTCAGCTAGACCTACAACTACTTTCACCAACAGAAATGTGTTGTTTCCAACTTTAGATTTAAAAAAACCTAGAAGTTTTTGTCCTTTTGCTTTCCAAGTCCTAAGCCAGCAAGCTATTCTTCTGGAGAAGCCATGTGAAGAGGGCTGTGAAAGACAATGGGAGAGAAAAAGTCAGCCACAAATCTAGATGAGCTTCCCAATTACTTCTGCCTGGAACCTCATGAAAAACCTCAAACCAAAATTAAACAATGCCCCATGATCTTTTAACCCACAAAACCATTAGAAAAAAACTACCTGACTGTTTAACGTTAATTACTAAGTGGTGTAGATAAAGGACAAGAAACAATGTAAATATTTTTGTCACCCTGGCAAAAAGAGAAAGCATGAACAAAGTGCACTGGTATTCTACACCGGTATTTTCTTTGGAATAGACACAAATAATTTCTGGGGGTAGGGGTGAACACAGTATGTGGTTACTATTAGTATCTTCTGGTGAGAAGTTAGGGCTGCAGAGATGCATCTCCAAGAGATGACTGGTAAATCAGAACGTACATGCAGGGCTAAGTAACCAAAGTTAAAGAGTACAGGCAGAGAATGTAGATGACGTAAACAAGGTAAAGGCAAGGGTAGGAAAAAAGGAGGGAAAAAAGAATCAGAAAAAGACCAACAATGCACAAGGAGGAATCTTGAAATTCAAGGAATTTAAAAAATGTAATAACCTGATACAAATCTGTAATCCCCGAACTAGGGAGGATATGACAGGAAAATAAATAGTTGGAGGCCAACCTCAGGTACATACATAATGAGTCTGAGTGCAGTCTTGGCCTCAAAACAACAAAAATACAACAGTTAAAGAATAAAAAACCAGAATGGGTGATATTGGAAAGAGATCCAGAGACATTCAAAGAAAGAAATCAGTCACAGCCACGGACAGAGGGAGAGAAAAGGAAAGTAATATTGGACAAGTATAAATTCAAGAAGGGCATTCAATAAGAAAGTAGTGTGAGCAGTCTTGGAGTAAGTAATAAGCACAGAAAATGGAGATCACCAGATAAACTAGTATAGAACTAAACGAATCACTTTAAGAAAGGACATCTCACAGATTATCTAGGAAAAGACAAGGGATATTATGGAGATTTCTGAACACAGCTTTTCAGAGTTGCTGAGTTCCCTGCTCATGGCCCCTGAGATTGATGTCTGCTCAAAAGAAATTAACATACATGATGAGTCCCTTCACATGGGAATGAAGTTGAGTAATCACAAGTTGGAAAATTACTGCAGTATTCACAGCAGGAATATCAAATTGGAAGAGATTACTATGATGGGGCAAAAAAAAAAAAAAGCAAGAATTCTTTTGGACCAGTTCAGGAGACTTACCTTAAGGGTACCCTGCTCATAGGACACCAAGAGAGGTGGGGTTTCTAATGTGAATTCAAGACACTTATTTTAGGAAGGCCATAAACTTTTTGCTTCACTAGACAATATTAACTATCCAACATTCCCCATCCCAAGTAGGAACAACAGAAATACAATACTTTCAATTCCTCTCTTCTAAACCAATTAAGTGAAGCAAAACTATGCCACAACCAGCTCCAAAGTTAAGCCTGAACATCTATGTTCTCAGTCAGAACTACCTTCCTAGGGAGCAAGTATACAGTAGAAGGGAAGAGGGTTTTCCAAGTCATAATGCCTGGGATGAGCAACTATGCCCCATGTCCAGAAGAACCTTTCATAAGAACTCCCCAAAGCCATGTAAGAAAAGGCAATCTCACTGTCAGTTAATGCTTTAGTGATAGCCAGTGACCCAATTCTGAATAATAGGATGAGTGACCTTCTATGAAGCCTCTGGAGTCCTTTCTTCTTATTGTCATTGTTTCAACAGTACAGATACTTGAGACTGCTACAACCATTTCTTTCCCAAAACCAGTTTCTTCCCAATCTTTTTTTATCACTGCCTTTACCATTTTCAGTCACCAAGTCCCATAGCAACTGTGACTTCTAACCCTTAACCTGACAGTGACTACTAAGGTTTGCCTGTAACAATCTGATTTTATTCCTGTTCTCCCAGTATAAAGATTATATGGTCATTTACTTACTTTCAATTTAAAGACAACAGCTCTAAAAAAAAAAAAAAAAAAAAGTTCTCAGACAGACTGGCAAACCATAGGCTTGCAGGCTGTTTTTGTATCTACTTTGGGGCTGAAACTGACTTTTAATGCTATTAAGTGACTAAAAATCAGAAGGATGGGCAAGGCAATGTAGCTTAGTTGGTTACTTGCTGGCAGGCAGGAGGTCGAAGAATCAGGAGTTCATGGTCATCCTCATCTATATATCAAGTTCATAGCTCTGGGATACATGAGACCCTGTCTCAAAATCAAAGACAACAGACATTAGAGTTCAGTGTCTCTAAGTACAGTTTTAACTGGGACACTTGTTCACTATGCATTGAGAAGTTAGGGCAGAGACCTTACGGCCCATAGCACCTAAATGTATAATACATTACAGAAAACTGTTCTCAGCCCACCCCCACCCCCCGCACTAACGCCATCACTAGAGCCTGTGTACAGCAGCACAATTGGTTTCCCAGCCCACCCCTTTCTTCAAGTACTAAATCCCCTCTGGACAAGATTTGATCACCAGTATGGTTAACGGGTAGCACTGTCCTATCCCTTTACCCTAAGACAACTACCTAAAAACTGACCGCAGCCAGAAAAGCCCATTCTTACTTTTCTAGACTACCGCTCACGTTAAAGCCAGTCTCCGATTCTGTGCTGGGTAGCTCACCCCTAAACTGCCACAGCTCGACTACACCTGTCCCCCACCCCCTCGTTCGTTCAAAGTTACAAGGAACCAGCCATTCCCAGGATCCACCTTTCTTCCTCACAGGCAGGGCTGCAGAAGCCTGTCAAACTAGTTGAGAGAGCGAGGCGGGCGTGGCTGGGAGCAGACGGAATTCTCGCTGGAAAGCCAGGGCTCCCGCAGGCCCCACAGCAGGGAGGGCGGGCGACTGGCGGCCTAATCCACGCACTCCCACCGTGGAGGAGGAGGCAGGGCGCCGGCGAGCGCATAGAGCTCCGGTTAAGAGCACTGCCCAAGAGCAGCGTGCGCCCGGACTGGGAGCTGAGGAATCGGGCGCAGGCGGGCCTAATGTCCGCAGCGCGGCTTCACACGCAGTCCCGCAGCTCCGGCTCCGTTACGAAGGCCGTGCGTCGTCACAGACGCGGACGCGAAAAGCTGCGGCGGGGCGCACGCACGCGGCAGGGAGGGGTCGCTGGAGACTGAGAGACCAGCGCGTGGCGCTCCGAGGCCTGCGCACGCGCCCCAGCGGAGTCCCGCCCACAATCGCGAATGCGCACGCGCGCGACCGGCTCCCTTTTTTTTTTTTTTTTTTCCCTCCCCTCTTTCTCTCAGCCCCGCCCCTCTCTTACACTCCTGGAGCTGAAGCGCGGAGAGAGTGAGAGCCGGACAGTGTGGGGCGAGGTGGGCGTGGCTTCGCCCGCGCGCGCCGCCAGCCAGGGCAGTAGCTGCGAGAGCGAAGCCAGACAACGTTACCCCGCCAACAGCCAATAAGCAGCCAGCACTGCCACGCCCCGTCCCCTCACGTGATTGGCTGCGCGCCGCCTGGTGGGCGGGGCCGTCCGCGGGCTGGGGAGGGCAGGGGGCGGGAGGAGGAAGGCGCTGGCGGGCAGTGATGGCGGCGGGTGATGGGGACGTAAAGCTAGGCACCCTGGGGAGCAGCGGTGAGCGCGGCGGCGACGGCGGCGACGGGAACCCTGGCGGCGCGGGAGCAACGGCGGCGGGGAGCAGTTGGGTGACGGCGCTGCTGGCGACGGGCGGGGAGATGCTGCTGAACGTGGCGCTGGTGGCGCTGGTGCTGCTGGGGGCCTACCGGCTGTGGGTGCGCTGGGGGCGGCGGGGTCTAGGCGCCGGGCCCGGGGCGGGCGAGGAGAGCCCGGCCGCCACGCTACCACGCATGAAGAAACGGGACTTCAGCCTGGAGCAGCTGCGCCAGTACGACGGGGCGCGCACGCCGCGCATCCTGCTCGCGGTCAATGGGAAAGTCTTCGACGTGACCAAAGGCAGCAAGTTCTACGGCCCCGGTGAGGAATGAGGGGTGTCGGGGGGCCCGGGACACCATAATCCCCGCCGCGACCATGCACCTGGATGGCTGCCCCGCGCATGCCCCCAACTGCGGGCGTCTGGAGCTCCAGTGGCACCCCACAAACCTGCTCCCGGCGATCCTTCCCTTCCCACCCCGTGTCTACTCGCAGTTTCTCCTGGGGCTGAAATTCCCAAAATGCTTAAGAGTTGACTCTAGTCACATTGGCCTTCAACCTTTCTCCTGAGCTTTCCGATTTCTGGGCTTTGTGAGAGCAAAAGTGATAAGGAGATGGCTAAAGTGGCAAACCAAAGTTTTCAGCCCTGTGTTAAGTTACAGCTTTTTACTCTGAATTGCCTGACACTTACCTGCTCTCTACTTCTCTGGACTAGTCTGCATAGAGCCAAGGTTAGGGACACGTAGTTTCAAGTCCCAATCCTCTCCAGTTCTGAAGCTCTAAGAACCACTTCGGACCCATTGTCTTTCTTTTTCTAAAAAGCCCGTTTTGGCTCTAAGATACTTTCCAAGATTAACACTGTATGTGAGATGAGGACGAACCATAATGTAGATATTAATAAATAAGACTGGCAACGATATTGGCCCTGAGTGTCTGGGGTGGAGCCCATCTGCCTAGCATGCATGTCTGTCTCTGTCTCTCCCTCCCTCCTCTCCCTCTCTCTTTCTCTCTTTCTGTCTCTGCCAGTAGTATGATAAGTGTTCAAATACCCGTTGATAATGAATTATTGTATTTTCCCTTAGCAGAACTGAGGGGGTGGCCTAGAAAAGCCAAAAACTCCTGACCACCCCCTCTGCCATGCACTAGTTCTTCAAGTTAGAGGTTTTACAACTTTGCTTTGAGAACACTATGTGGAAGGTAGTTTCTGTGGAGGCCCTTTTACAGTGTAGTGGTAATCTGTTTCAGATTACACAAATAAACTTCAAACTTGGTGACTATGTTGGAAGTCCATAAAATTGAGCAACTGTGTGCCCTGCTTATGTGGTGATTAATATTAAGCTTTAAATGTTGGGGGAGGAGCAGTTACAATAAGAATAAAGAGACCAGAGACCAAAAGTGACCCAATCCTGGAAGGACTACATCCAGCTTTTAAACAGAGTTTCCTTTTAATTTTGTTAGTGCATGTGATCTATTGACACTGAATATGCTTCTGAATTCAGTGCTTAGCTGGGTGCTATTTTAGACGTGTTTGGGTTTGTTTGGATTAGAGGTAAGAAGCTGGATGGAGTGTTTGGTGTTGGCTCTGTCTGTTTCTTAGTTTTATGTTTCATTACACACACACATGCATGCATATATGTGCGCATATATATATGCATATATGTGCATATGTATATATATGCACATATATACACATACATACACACGTATATCCTTCTGGATATATAAACAAATACCACATATCCCCTTGTTTACATCAACTTCAACTGTTAATACATTTTATTTAAGAGCTTGTTGAACAAGAGTCTAGGACCAAAGTATATTATTTACACAGACCAAGTCAAATAAACTTTTTAAAGTCAAGAATTTACACAGATTTCATACCTAGTTACATACAGCCTTTCCCCCAGTAGCATTAAAAAGTGTGTTCAGTGGTTAAAGATTGTCTAGTATTTGTAAAAAGAATCATTTTAGTCCTCACCACATTAGGAAAGAGTCAGTTTGGGCAGCTTCCAGTGGCAAATGTGTGGCAGAAGTTAAAAACTAAGAGTAAGAGGTATGTGGATTGGGTCTCTGTGTTTGAGCTCTGAAGGCATTCTTGAGATGATAATGAAGAACCACTCTAGGTGTGGTAGTACAGGCATTTAACCCCATATACCCTGGAGGCAGAGGCAGGTGTGGGTCTCTGAGTTCCAGGCCATTTGGGATTGAATAGTGAGACCCTGTCTCAAGACAGACAAAAAGAATAGAGAACCACTTCCTTGTTCTAATGCATAATTATTTTATTGCAGGTATCAATAAACACTCTAATAGGAATATCTGAAAGATTTTATTATTGAAAAGAACTCAAATGTAGCCAGAGCATCTGTGGAGCTTACAATCTGTTGATTTTTTTTTTCTTGGATAGACAGAGTTTGACGTACTTTCCAGGAGTCTGGGTGCCATTTTCATTTTATTCTTAACTAGTTCAGCACACAGTTCTCCTTAGCTAGAATCTCGGTGATTTGAAAACCTCAGCCTAGAGCTGGAAAGCTTACTTTCTGTGCCCAAACTGCTATCAATTCCCATTTTGCAGTGATGTTTAGGATTAAAGATTGTTCTGTGAGAGTTGTTTTTTTTTTTTTTTTTTCCCTCTATAATGCTGGACACATTCTCTTTAGCTGTACATCTTTAAAGTCCCTTTTCTTGAAAATACAATTAAATAGCAATACTTTAAATGTGGTTCACTGCCAACCATTTGCCAGAAGGTGTTGACTTTGTTGTCAGTATTGTATTTAGTAATAATCAGGTACTTAGCTTGTACAGAAAGTCCAAGCTATAGCCAGCTTACCTTTTTAATTCTACTGAAAAGGAAAACACTATATAAGTAGCTCTTGGAGCTATCTAATAGGAAGTTGTGGAAAGGAGCTCATGAACCTAAATCCTTCTCCTTTTAATCTTGTCTTCAACATACTAATTTTATTTAACAATATAATTTGTAAAACTGTGGTTTAAGCAAGAATTGCAACATAAAGACCAAACCCAGCCTGACCTACTGCTGCATGGATATCTCAGAGTTGTCACAATCCAGCTGTCATCATAATTTCTTGCTTTGAAGCCAGCTAGGTTTGTTTGGGCTAGTTACTACATGTGTCTTGTTAACTACCAGTAAGATAAAGGGAACAGCTAAAATTTCTGAAGTAGCTACGAATTGTAGTTTGTACTTGTCAACACTCTTGAGGGCAGAGGAAGGAGGATGGCCTTTAGTTAGAGGATAACCAGACTACATAGATGAGCTCCTAGATAGCTATAATGTGAGTTCATGTCTTAAAGAACATAAAGTTCAGAAGTTTTATGTTGTGCTTATCATTTCTATAGTATGATTACCTCTTCTGAATTCTGCATCATTGCATTGTTTTTAGTGTTTTAGGGAACTGTTTTATGTTCAGTACTACAGCAAATTAAAAAAAAAAAAAACAAAATTGAGACCAAAAAAATGCTGACTGAGACCAGAAGTATGGAAAAGAACTAGTCACATGTGCTTTTCAAGACACTTTGGGCAATCTGGTGTAGGCCATTCCTCCCCATATGTCTGTGGCATACATCACTATATAACTCTTGGTGCCGGTATCCTTTTTGCAGATCTTTAATAAAAGACTTAATCTCTTTTTGGTTTTTTGAGACAGGGTTTCTCTGTGTAACAGTTCTAGCTGTTCCAGAACTAGCTCTGTAGACCAGGCTGGCCTTGAACTCACAGAGATCCTCCTGACCCTACCTCCCGAGTGCTGGGACTACTGTCCAACTAAAGGTGGTTTTGTTTGTTTGTTTTTTGAGGTAGGGTTTCTCTGTGTAACAGCTCTGGCTGTCCTGGAACTCCCTGTGTAGACCAGTCTAGCCTCGAATTCAGAGATCCACCTGCCTCTGCCTCCCAGCACTCCACTACCCAATTCCATTTTTAAATACTAAGAAGGATCACTATAGATTTCACTGCAGTAAGACTTTAAATAAGGCAATTTCAGAAGTGGAATTAGTCTTTGGCACAGACGAATCCATATCTATGGACCTGATGTCGCTTTTAGACAGGCAGTATACAAACATCTCAGTATGTAATTATGCTCTTTAAAAAAAAGATGAAATTAGGGTTATGATCAAGGGGCTTATTTGAGTATTTGGAAGTACCTTATTTCTGTTAGATGATCATAAAGTGGGGGTGTGACTTTTTAGGTGTGGGGGTAGACACATGGAAGCCTTCTAATTAGACCCATCCCTGTCATCTCCATTGATAGTCCAGGTTTGGTTTCAACCTTTGGTTGCTTTTATTTAGCTAGAGGTTTATTAATCCAACCCTTGAAACCACTTGTATGATTTTGTTCTTATAAATATAGGTAGGTAGGTAGGTAGGTAGGTAGGCAGGCAGGCAGGCAGGCAGGCAGGCAGGCAGACAGACAGACAGACAGGCCAGGAGGTGGTGGAATATGTATGCCCTTAATTCCAGCACTCAGGAGGCAGAGGCAGAATTCAATAAGTTTGAAGCTAGCCTTGTCTACAGAGCAAGTTCTAGGACAACCAAGGTTACGTAGAGAAACCTTGTCTTGAACAATCAATACATAACTAGATTTTTAACTCATTAGCACTTTATGTTATCATAGTTCAATCTGATCACATTTTTGTGAGTGACATTGTGTTTTTGTTTCCATCATCTTATTTGAGTCTTTGACCACATCTTTGTAACTGTCAGTGCTCTGAATGCAGTTCAGAAAAAAACTCTACTTTAGGTCTTCATTCCATAGTTCTTAGAGTTTATCCTTCCCTTTCTCTTTTTTGCTGATTTGGATAAATATGTTTCCATTCTTCTAGAGATTGTTAAAATATGTTTTAGATGCTGACCTATCCTTTAGGACAATGGAAGATTTTTAACCAAATATCAAGTAAATTAGAAAAACTTACTTCTTGAAGACACCATACTGCCACTTGACGGTTTTCTCCCATTTAGTGCCTAGATGAACCTGGGCCTCAAGCAATTAGGCATTAGGGTAGATAGAACTGGAAGGTCTTTTTCTTTTTAAGGAGAGAGAAAAGAAAGGGTGTGTGTATGTGTGTGTGTGTGTGTGTGTGTGCCACATTTATGCAGAGATCCCCCAGAGCTGCCCAGTGTGGATACTGTGACTGGAACTCAGGTCTTTATAATGTTGTTGCCTTTTTGAAAATGTACTCATTCTTAGCCAGGTGTGGTGGTGCACATCTTTAATTCCAGCACTCAGAGAGGCAGAGGCAGAGGCAGATGGATCTCTATGAGTTTGAGGCCAACCTGGTCTACAAAGTGAATTCCAGGACAGCCAGAATATACA